GTGTCCCAAATCCAGAATGGTCTTAGGATGATAGCATTCTTAGTGTTCGTACAGTTGCTGGACAGTAGCACGGAGAACACAGAGCCACACTGACAGATGAGTAACGACACAGATAAAAGGGGCAGGAGAAGCTGTACAGCCATCAAGTTCTTCATCTCAGCTGGGTTCCCACCAAAGTAACTCACCTGGTGTCAGACAAATGACACGTGGTGTCTCACCCGTGGGCCTCAGCTGAGATGCACACGGGCTCGCCCATTTATCTGCCACGCAGATGGTTCGTCTTGTGTTCTCTCGCCAGCAAGGCAACAGCTCAGCTTTGCTGGGGGATCACCTCCAGATGTTCAACCAAAGAGAGACCCTGCCACCCCACTGAGAGTAAGCAGACACCCCCTCCCTGCAGCTGGGGCCACTCAGCGACAGTACAAATTCGAAAAATCACCATCTTGGTAATGGTCACGTTTGTAGTTCAAAACCGCATAGAACACACCATTGTCTGAGTGCTGACTTTCTTAGTAAGTAGCCAGAAGCTTACAAATAGTACCAAGTTATCTTTTATTTTAAGTATCTTAAATAAGTCAGAGCTGGCAGGCAGGTTTTCTGTGACTTTTGCTTGTAGCTTTCCCTTGCTGATGTCACTTGCTGATTTTTCCACATGGGCCAATGTGACTGTTTAAACAAAAACAGCCTTTGTCAAATACCTAAAATAAAGAAGTGCAGGCTAACACCTTCTATGTTTTGCCATGCCGGCTGCAAGAGGTCCCAGGTATCTATTTTACATTTCGTGAAACTTAGCAAAGAGCACATTTTATTCCAGAGATGGTGAAATCGTGGTAGTTACGTATTGTTCACATCAGCATTGGCATTTGTTTCATAACCTGGGAAGGAAAGTGTCAAAGCATTGCTACGGAATATTAAGTTTTCGAATATTTATGAAAAAGACAACTAAGGAAAAAAGGGGGTAAATCCTAGATTTTTGACCCAGGCAATTGGGTAACACTTCACTCAAATGAGAAAATAGGTGATGGATACGTTGGAGTGGGGTGGGAATGAAGATGATCTTTGAACTATTTAAAGTTGGTGGTGCCCATTCGATATTCCAGATCTAAGCACAGACATGAAGCACGCAGCGGAACATGCAAGTTTGGAGCTCGGCGGAGACGTTGGAATTGTTTATATTCATTCAGTTGCCATCAGAATATAGTTGTTTCAGAGGAGAGTGCAGAGTGGAAGGGTGTAAACACGTCTAGGTTTCTACTCGTCTTTGGAGATGATTCGGTTTTTCTTGGGCATGAAGTGTCTTCCTTATAAAATAAGGACTTGAAAAATGTTATAAAACTTCCAACACCAACATTATGTACCTAAATGATCTTCATGCGTAAGTGGCTGTTTTATGTCAAGAAACATTTCTCTTTTACAAGCCAGGCAGCGGTCGCCAACCTTTCGGACCTCAGGGACCACCAGGGGTCCGCGGATCATGGGCTGGCGAGCGCTGCGGTGGTCTGCCTTTAGAAGAGGAGCCTTTTGCCATTCGGACTTCCTGTGCAGTTAGCACCGCATCATTCATTCTGGGAGTTTTCTGCCTCGGGTTTCCTTCAGTGCATTGGAGCCAGGGGAACGGCTGGGCAGAGTGGCATTGTTTCCCGGTTGCCCTTTAAAGATGTTACACACAGTTTCCTCTGCGTATCCCTGTCAGTGAGGTTGTACAGACTGATCCAACTTGACTCATGGGTGAAATGATGTGATTGCTGAGCACTTCAGTGACCTCAGAAATATAATCACAGGTCAAATTTTAGGTTTTCGGTTAAAATGCACATATGGTATATTCTGTGGACACTCAGCGTTTTGTCAGTATTAGCGATTTTCCTGGGCATACGTGCTTTCTATGGGAAATTACATTCCAGTAAACTCACACAGTTTGTCTGGCCTTTGGCTGCACCAACACTAGTAATATTAATCTCTTATTTCAAAGGTGTCTTGTTTTGCTTTCTAAAATGCTTCACTCTCACCGACCCATATGAATATTCTATTTAAATTGCCAATAGCTTGGACATTCATGCGGTCATTCTTGACTTTGTAACAAGAATGATTTCAGTCAAATAGTGTGGATGAAAGCTTGTCTGTTGTGAATTCTAAAGCAAATGTGAAAGGAAAAATAATGACAAGTGAGAAAACCCAAGGAGTTTTTACCATGAAGTTGTACGTGATGGTTTATGTTGGGGGGGGTGGGGGGGGGGGCTGGGAGTTTATGTAAGAGTGATGAAAATACACTGAAAATGTACAAATGAGAACACCCCAGCCGAGGGACAATGTGTGATGGAGGACAGAGTGGATGATTGCAGGAGTGGAGAGATCCGGGGCATTGAGCCAATGGATTGGCTGGGACAGGAGTGCAGACATTGCTTTTATTGTAACAGGAGGAGGGTGAATGGGACAGTTGAGTTTCTCTTCGGATGCTTCTATTTTCTCAGTGAAACGAGAAACAAAGGTATCAGCAGGGAGTGAGGAAAAGTTCTGGATATTAGAAGCTTGAGGAGAGAGAAAGTCGTTTAAAACAGTCATTGGAAGAGTAGGGGTAAATTAACTAAATAAATGTTGTAGGGTTGCCAGGACCCATTTGAGGGTGATGATCGTGAAATTGAGGAGAACCACTCAGCAGTTTATTTGTTCATTTGTTTCCTAGCTTACTCAGCTGCCTGGGTTTGGGAGAGATTTATTATTAACCCAGGTTAGAAGTCCAAATTTTGAAAAGAGAGGGAGTTAAAGATAAGGCAAGGGAGTGAGTTTTAATGATGGGGAATGGGACCTCATCCGGCAAGGAGGAAAGTGAGGGGATGAGGAGAGGAGTCAGAATGGTTGCCGTAAGAATATTCTGAGGATGAACCAGAGCAAAGGAATGATGTTTGAAATTGAGAGTTAGGTGAGTGTTGAGTTCCAGATGAGGGCAAGTCTAGGGTGTGATCCTGAGTTGGGAGCTGAGGTACAGCAGAGGGCAAGGCCACTGGAGCTGAGGAGGGCAAGGCACTGAGAGGCCATGTTGGAGCTGGGAAGGAGAGGAAGAGCAATACAGTAGTCTTCACTGAGCAGGTGGTATGTGTACCTTCCCCTTGGTTGTTAAATACTCCTGCAGTCAAGCATCCAGAGCTGGAGAAGATGCGGGCCACCCTTCAGTAAGCAGGGACTTGTGACAGGGCATTTCCTGGACAGTGTCCCGATGCTCTCTGGCTAACTCTTCACGCATGGCCCTCAGTTCCTGGGCTATGACCACACATACCATAGACGGTTTTTTTCTCTCTTGTCCTCTTCACCTTTATTTCTACCCCTCACGCACATAACTAACTACTCCTTTCCATCGTCCTTCATCTTTCATGGCTCAGGCTAAACATACTACTTCCTTGATGAAACCTTCCCTCACAATTCACATTCGACTCCATTCCAACTGGTACATACTCTTATAACACCCTCCGCTTTTCACTTTTTTTTCTCACTTACCATACTTGAAAGCAAGAATGAGTTTAGTTATCAGTCTCTAATACACTACCTATGAGCTCCATGAGGGCAGGGCGACGGCTGTTTTCCCAGTGCTTAGAGTGGTCTCTTAAACGTAGTTGGCGCTCAGTAAACAGGTGTTGCAAAATGAATGAAAAGTCCCAATCGTTCTACCTACAGTGAAATTGAAGGGCTTCATCAAGCGTGTGCAGGGCCTTTTGAGGTTTTCGCCTAAAGCGGTTACAACTCCCTTCAAAGTTTGAATACTTAGGTATTGTAACTGTAAAGCGAGTATTTAGTTTTAAAAACCTAAGTAGGTGTGAGTGAGAGGTAAACTTGAATTTTACACAGAAAAGTCTGTATTCATGACTTTAGTGGTGGTATTCTGAATGTGCTGCTTATAACATAATGGGCATGTTGCTCACATGGGCACTGACTCAGCAGAAAACTAACCACTTTTGAAAACACAGTTCAAGACCTGTGCAGATGAGCAGTCAATAGACTCATTGTCCAATAAAACAAAAGGCGTAAGTGAGGTGAAATCACCTGAGGATTCCCTCCACCCCTATTATACCATGGTATTTTGCTATTGTTTAAATTAAATTAATGTTATCAGTTATCTTTTTTAATCAGTGAGCAGTTATTGCAGATTATATAGGATTTAATTTACAAGGTAAATAAAAGGTCTAGATAACAATTCTCAAATTAAAAGATAATCCTTTGCTTCTTTCCTAATATTTAATTTCCCTTTGGATATGTTCATAAAACATTTTTAGTGCTGTCAAATTTTTTTAAGATGTGCGTATTTTTAAAGTTCAGGATTTCAAAATCAATATTTCTATGGTTTATAAGTATGTATAAAAAGGTGTTGCCTGGCCGGTGTGGGTCAGTGGTTGAGCATCAACCCATGAACCAGGAGATCACAGTTCAATTCCTGGTCAGGGCACATGCCCCAATTTCAGGCTCCAGCCCCAGCGCGGGGAAGGGAGGGGGTGTGCGCAGGAGGCAGCCGATTGATAATTCTCTCATCATTGATGTTTATCTCTCTCTCTCTCCCTCTTCCTTCCTCTCTCTGAAATCAATAAAAATACATTTTAAAAAAAGAAAAAAAAGAAAGAAGGTGTTTTATCATTTGACCATTTAGGTATAGGACAATTAGATGGAGAAGGACTCCCAGGATTTGTGCTGTCTTTTATAGTGGTTGACATTTGTTGAAAAATGAGATTTTTGGAAAATTTTCAGTAGCTTTCCATTATTTTCATTACATTTCCTAGTTTGGATGTGGTGGGGGTGGGGGTGGGGGCGGAGAAAGTCCAGGTTTCTTTGGATTAAATTGACTCAGTACAACCTGTCCTTGTGAACATTTTATGATTTCCATAGAAAACGTTTATTATTTACTTCTTTTCCACCATTTTCTAAGTGTGTTAAAGAGTCGTTAGAAATCAAAGTGTATTTTGCTGCTCTGTTACCACCAAGAACGACTGAATTTTGAACCCCTCGACACTCTCTTCTAGCTGCTTTCGAAATCTATTGAACAACTGAAGCAACCAGGCAGGCACCTGGAGGAAGCGGAGGAAGAGCTGCAGGGGGACCAGGCGATGCAGGAAGACAGAGCGCCCTCTAGTGGCAACAGCACTAGGAGCGACAGCAGTGTTGGTGTGGAGGACACACTGGGACAAGTTGGGGCTGTGAAGGTCAAGGAGGAGCCAGTGGACAGTGATGAAGATGCTCAGATCCAGGAAATGGAATCTGGGGAGCAGGCTGCTTTTATGCAACAGGTAATAGGCAAAGATTTAGCTCCAGGATTTGTAATTAAAGTCATTATCTGAACATGAAATGCACTCCAGGTTTTGGTCAATGGATATTATTTCCTATCACTGAATAATCTGATTTTAGTGTTTAAGGGTTCTAACTAATATGTATATATCTATATAGAGGTCTCTCTCTATACTGATCTCTGTATAGATATCAAGGTTTCATTGAAATTTCACTGGCAAGGAAATACCTGCTACACTAATACGATACTACATAGTTATCCAAGTAACTAGCAGGCTTTAAATCCATCCTCAAGCCTGCCACATCAATTACTTCTAAGGAAAACGAACTCACTGTTGTTTTAGTTTCTCTGTTGAGATCAGTGACTGCTGGATACTTTCCCAGTCTGATCAATGACACATTCTATTAGTTCTTGATATTTTTTGATATGTAGAATTCAATTTTCTCAGCGTTGTACATAATGTATCATGCTACAGTCTTGAACACTGTTAAAGGTAGTCTGCCCCTTCCTTCCTCTCTCATTTCTGTTAAGTGAAATGTTCTGGTTACCATGCCAGTAGTCCTAGGCTACTGTATAGATTTCAATTGAAAATATTAGGAATAGAGGTGGTTTTAAATATATAGATGCAAAGTACAGCACTATTTTAAATATTACATGACGTCTCACCGAGCGCTGCTCATTTTACTTTATCTTGTGTTATTTGATGACACTGTCTATCAAAAAAAGATCAAGCGAAGCAGATGCAAATGTTGTTAAGAACTAACGTGCAGCCTGTGGGCCAATCAGATACCCTATTGTAGTATCTGCAATTATAGAAAACACAGCAACAGTAAGATTATCATCTGATAGGAAGTCAAAATCACGTTTAAAAGAAGCAAGCATATCATATTTTATTATCATTATCCCTAGGATCTCTTAAGTATAATTCCATGATGGACGCCATACCATTTTGGCAAAATTAGCAAAGTGGGCCTTAACAAAAGAACCTACTTGTACATAATGCACCTTTAGAAGGACTGTGTCCTTTGAAGCTATAAAATACAAACAACTTTGAAGGCAACAGAAGACTGTTTATTTAAGTCACTTCTTTGTCAGGTTCCTGCTGTTCTCCTACAGAAAACGGATTCTATGAGGCTGAGCAGGAAATGCCTTGTGGAAACAGGAAGTCCAAGTGATTCATGTGCTGGGGAATGTAGGGGGAGAAACGGAGGATAGTGTTTTACTCTTTCTGTTTTTAAAGGGCACTCTATGAATTGATTTATTGTCTAAGAAAATAACACCACAAGTAGGGAAATTGTTAAGGAAGCTTTTCACTGGAACATTTCCTTCAATACTCCTTTTTGATATGTTTACCTTGTTTTCTAGGTTTACTTTTGTTAAGCTAGTTAAAGATTTGTCGTATTAAGACCCCTTTAATATGAATAATCCAAATTGACCTAGAATCTTTGTGACTTTTTTTTCCTATTAAAATATTTATATTTCTAAATCCGAGGTATTAAAAGGTGTAGTATCCTGTTTCAAAGGAGATATAGCAGTTTTGCCAAATGTAGACATTGTACAATTGTATGTTATTGGCACGTGTTGTTTACATTTTGCTGTGACATTTAAAAATATTTCTTAAAAAAAGGTTACTGCTAAAGATACATTATCCTTTTTTAAAAAGTTGCCATTCAAATTAAATTAATATAACTAGAAGTTAGAAAGTTTAAAACTTTTCCATATAATGAAAAAAGACCTGATAATTTGACAAATAGCTATAACACTTCCTATTACCAACATATTTTGGTTAATATATTCCTTCAGATTAAAATGACTTTTTGTCAGTTATTTTGCATTAAAATATGGCATTCCTAAGATAAAATTGTGTATTTTCTCCATCTCATAAATATACATTTTCTTTAAAGTCTTTTTCAATTTCATAAAAAAGGGATAGTGCATCTTTTAAAATACATTTTATTTGGGGAGGAACATGTGGCTGAGCAGACTTTTGTATAATATTACTTCAAAGATATGTAATGAAGAACAAAAAAAGCTATTTTTTATAATGTCACTTGAGAGAGCTTCATCAGTACAGTTGGTGGACGTTAATTTGTTTGAATTCGATATTCTTTGAATTTAATCAAGAAACTACCTGGAACCAGTGAAAAGAAAAGCTGGACTTAAATAATCTTAGAGCTAATTGATAATTGTCTCTTTTAAAATCTACTGTATTTATTATAATTTACACCCTTGATGGTGATCTCTTGTTTTGTGTTGTAAATATATTGTTTGTATGTTTCTCTTCTTGCCTTCTGTTATAAGTCTCTTCCTTTCTCAAATAAAGTTTTTTTTAAAAGATCCCCTTTCATACATATGGCTTTGTGTAAATTTGATATCTAATCGAATTCGAAGCTCACGCAGTAGGTGTCACATACCAAAATATATTGCCATTCTTTGTTGAAACAAAAAAACAAACATATTTTGAGTAGTTACTTCCATGCCATTAAAAATAATAAATCCAACAATAATGATTTTAAAGTATTTATGTCAGCCATGATCAAGTAGCAAATACAGGTAAAATTTGTTGCATTTTTAATACCCCAGTGTGGCCTTTTCCATATGTTATCATCTTGATGTCGATATAAAATTTTATGTAAATAGATGTCAATTCCTAACTTTACTCAACCTAAAAAAGTTATTTTAATCAGATTAATGTAATCCCTTGAATATAACAAGCACTCAATAAATATGAATATAAATAATTTATCAGGTATTATAACAGTACTATCTACTACAGTGAGAGTCTGACCTCTAAGTATAAAGTGACAGTACATAAATTTAAAGAGAAAGGAGTAATTAAATTACCTCACCTAATGTGGAAATAATTTTTTAATACGACTGTGAGAAATAAGGAGTCTGACTCAGGTAAAGGGAACTGGACCAGACACATCCCCCAGGCCATGCCAGACCTTGTTCCTCTTCTGGTCAATTGCTAACAAAACTTATTAGCCAATAGTTCATAATGCGTTGTTGTGTATTTGGTTCAATAGGTTAAAAATATTCGTTGTATTTTTTTTGAGCCCCTTAACCTAACTAATAGTGTCATACAAAATAAAGTTACTCTAAGTCACAACAGTATTGCCCTAGATTGTTAAAAATACTGGAGCTAATATCATTGACTATTATAAAATGGACTATCACTCCATAATGCCATACATTTGATAATTTGATCAGAATTGTGGGAATATCTTCAGTATTAGTCATGCTTTCCTGAAAATTGCCTTTGGGCTGTAAAATTACAAGATGAACTAGGTACGAGCCATCCTCAAATTTCATCTTTCTTTTTTTCTAAAGGCTGTAATACGAAGAAATTCAGACACTACACATTTTTTTTGAAACCTAATACTCAACAGATATACGATAGACAACAGTATTATTTTTGATGTGGCATTTCTTTGTGATTTTTTTTTCATTACTGGAAATATGCAATTGTGGGTATATAATTGTAGGCTGACAATGATAAATAATCAAGGTCTTCAAATTATAACCAATTATAATCAGGAACTCAGAGATGCAAGGGAAGGATTTTGAGAGGTAGATTACCATTCCTTTCATAATCAATAATTTTAAAGGGGAGGAATGGAAGAGCAGTCAAGCAAATAAAACAGGATATTGGGAATGTGACTTTTCAGAACCTATTCTCATTTTATAAAAAAAACAAAAAAAAAAACAAAAACTTCTTAAAAGCTTATAAACTGTAGGGTTTAGACAGTGCAAATTTGGGGGATCATCTTGATTTACAAAAAGACTTTTAATTAAATTTAACTATTGCAAACATACAATGTACCACATTTTGTTTTAAGTATCTTACATCTGTTAACTAAGTCCTCACAACAACCTTATGGGGTAGGTATTATTGTCCCGTTGTAGAGTTGAGGGTCCTGGGTCACAGAGACATTAAGGTCAAGGTCACCCAGTCAGTGACACTCTAGCTCTCATTTGTACCCATGAACCCAGGCACTAGAATCCCTGCTCTCAAACTTCACCATCACACTGTATTGTGCAACATCCTTTTACATGTCCAAGTTTATTTAGTGCATTATCCTCCCCGCGCCCCTTTCTCTGTCCATCAGCATTTTCAAACTGTTTTGAATCAGTTTTCTCTTTTAATCATTGCTGTAATTTAGGAGATTAGGACTCTTATTTTTTCCTGATTCGTAGATGAGAAATCTAATTCTTGTAAACATTTATGCTCAATTTTTAGAATCGTGAAAAGTTGTGAGTTTATCTTTTCTGACCAGTGGCTGGACACTGGATTGTTTTCATTTGGGGGGTGTTATGAGCAATGCTGCTATGAACATCCATGTACAAGTTTTTGTGTTAACATATGGTTTCAGTTCTCTTGGGTATATCACTTGCATTTTTGAATTGGGTGTTTGTTTTTATAGTTAAGTTTTAGGAATTCTCTATATTCTGGATATTAGATATTAATCACTTATGATATATATCATTTGCAAATATTTTCTCCCATTCTGTGGGTTGCCTCTCATTTTCCTGATAAGTGGCCTTTGATTCACAAACATTTTTAGCTTTGTTGAAGTCTAATTTACTAATTTTTCTTTTGTTGCTTATGCTTTTAGTGTCACATATAAGAAACTGTTGCCAAATCCACTGCCAACAAAGATATACACCTATGTTTTCTTTTAAGAGTTATGTAGTTTTAGCATTTACTTTTAGGTCTTTGATCCATTTTGAGTTATATACATTATTTTTTAAGTATATACTTCCATGCGTTTGAGTTATTTTTAGAGATAAGAGCTTAATAATTCTAGGACTCCATTTTCTCATGCATGAGCTGTTTTCCTGATTTCTAAGTTTGGTTTTGCTTCTTTGCCTTCCTGTTGCTGCTTCTTATTGCTTCCTAGCTTCTGGTGCTGTTTCTTTTTCTCTTCCCAATGAATCACTTAAATTCTACAATCTTGATGTTTATTATATCTAATATAAACCAAAGAAAACATGAAGTTTATTTTTCTTTTAAGAAATGCCTTTTATTCTGGTGACCTTTTGAAACTAAATTGGAGTTATTTTTCATTTATATGGCTTTAAAATTCTACCTAGGTTACCCATTTTTATTTGTCTACTAGTACTTTGCACTTAAAATTTATGTTGAACTAATGTTCGTGTCTCTGCTTTGGACTTTGTGCCTTCATTGACAGAATTTCCGCCAAGACCGCTATATTGTACTGTCCAAACTGGTAGCCACAGGAATCTATTGAGAATTTAAAATATAACTGGCACAAACAACATTTGTTTTAAGTGTACAATACACAGCAGACTTCAAAGACATAGTATAAAATATATATTCCTATCTAAGTAACAAAGATATATATTGATTACATATTAAAATGATAATATCTAAAATTTATTAGGTTATATAACATGATTAGCATTCATCTTACTGTTTTCTCTTACTTTCTTAATGTAGCTCCTAGAAAAGTTAAGATTACATATATGCTTGCATTTGTGATTCACATATTTTCCATTGTGAATGCTGCTTTAGATTCTATTCCTCTCATTTTAAGTTATGTTAATAGGTCTCACACTACATTCCTTGGGAAATAAGTGGGCTATGATACCTGAGCAAAATACTATTTGCTCTTGCCAGTATCTTTCTATTGCTGTCACCTAATCTAACATACAGGCAAAAATGCTATGTGGGAGGAGATCTGTGGCATCTTAATGGTTAACAGGTTTAAATGTTTCCTTCTTTATCTTAAAAGCAAATCAAAGTCTATCAGCTGTTTTATTAACACTATCAGTTGAAAGGACAGTTCACTTATTGCTTCACTCACATCTCCAACTTAGTAAATTCATCATCTGTAAAATGGGCTTTTTTTTTTTTAAGCTCTTCCCTTTCTGTCAGTGGAACCACCATTTAGACTCTGGATAAATTATCATGAAATCATCTCTTTTTATCTCTTCATTTTTTATAGTAAGCAGTTAGTACTCCTATTTCTGATTTCAAAGCCATCATATCGCTTCATTTTCTCTTTGGCAGTACTTTCCCTAATCTCTACCTTAATAATAAATTGAACTTATCCTATATAATAAAAGGATAATATGCAAATCGACCGAATGGCAGAATGATCGGTCGCTATGATACACACTGACCACCAGGGGCAGACACTCAATGTAGGAGCTGCCTCCTGGTGGTCAGTGCACTCCCACAGGGGGAGCACTGCTCAACCACAATTATGATTTTTCATAATTTACCTTCTATATGGATCACTGATGATTGTTTTTATTGTAATATCTGAAACATATTTTGGTAAAAATACAACATATCAAATAATTTTCATTTAGCACATGAATTTTTCTACATCAATGTATTCTATTGGAAAGATGACAACGTGATTCAAATTAATCTTAGAAAGTGAATTGATCTCGTCTTTTTGAAGATTTAAATAAAGAAAACTATACTGACCATGGGAAAAAATAAGGTGTTGTTTTTGACTATATATGCAGTGAACTTGAAGAGTGGCATTTGTTTGTGATTCATGTGTGGGATTGCCTTAGAGCAGGGGTCCTCAAACTACGGCCCGCGGGCCACATGCAAATACAAATATTGTATTTGTTCCCGTTTTGTTTTTTTACTTCAAAATAAGATATGTGCAGTGTGCATAGGAATTTGTTCATAGTTTGTTTGGTTTTTTAAACTATAGTCCGGCCCTCCAACGGTCTGAGGGACAGTGAACTGGCCCCCTGTTTAAAAAGTTTGAGGCCCCCTGCCTTAGAGATACACCTGCCTGGTGGTTACAATGCTGATTCTGTAGGACTTCAGGAGTTCCAACTTTATCGTCAATTCGCAACTCCACCTGGAGCAAATTGCTTAGTTCTGCCAAGCGTCAGTTTACTCATTTGTTAAATGTGATCACTAATTTTTTCGTCGGGGTGTTGTTTCTGTAAGTAATATATGTGGGCATCAGAATTAGTACCGAGGAAAAATGAGCAAGTGCAGATGTCCTTGACTCTCAGTGGGGTTATGTCCCAAGAAACTCATGACACATTGAAAATATTGTGTCAAAAATGCATTCATACTACACCTTAGAGCAGTGGTCAGCAAACTGCGGCCCCTTGAGTGTGGCTCTTCCACAAAATGTCACGTGCGGGCGCGCACGTACAGTGCGATTGAAACTCCGTGGCCACAGTCAAGGGACCAAAGAGCCGCGTGTGACTCGTAAGCCGCAGTTTGCCGACCACTGAAGAGTATTGGTGATTCACCTCCTGTTCTCTGATCACTGCTGCCCAGCGTCACGAGAGTGTCCTATCCCTTATCCCTCACCAAGGGAAAGATCAAAATTAAAAATA